AGGACACACCAGCTACTTTCAGTGACTTAAGCATCATGTTAAATTTGGAAATGAAAACTGCAGATGAAAAGTAAGGAAATGTAAACAGAATGATAAGAATATCATATTCCTGTCTCTAGATATTTCCTGTTTCCCTGCTTTTACAGCAGTCTTCAATTCATCATTCAGTTCACACTTGATAAGGGCAAGAGTTCCTCTTTGAGCTAATATGCAGAATATTGAGATTTATACACTTCAGAATGAACTGGAAGCTACTTAGAGGCCCACGTGGACAATGGCTTCTTATAACTTAGTGCTGAGACACGGTTATAGCAATATTAATGATGATCAGCTTGTAATATATGTGTACTTGAGCCCACCTGAAAATCCCAGTTTGGATTTCTAAATGAGCCTGTCCAACACTGACTACACCATGGAATATTCTGTTGAGGGAAATACTGAGAGAGTTAGATAGAAACTTTATGCACAGCTGGTGAACATGGTGGGTTTATAATCTCCAGACATATCTGCAGCTTCTAAATCAAGTTTTCTGATCTGCTGGTGATCACGTGGAGGTTTGAGATTTCACTGATAGAAATATCACAGCTTCAAAAGCCTTATGGCTTCATATGGGTGAAGAGGGCATGAGGAGACTTTGCTAGTGGCTAGGACTTACTGCATTATTGGGAATCCTCAGCCTTAAGTTGAGGTCTTGGACTGCCATCTGCTGGGGTGCTAAGACAAGTCTGGCATCACTGCTGCTCTTAAAAATCTAAATAGCCATGCATCAGAAGAAGGGCTAATTTTGTAGTTTATCTTTGAAAGCAATCTTCTTCTCCTCCATGCTGTTCTAAAGCTGATGTGATTAGAGAAGTTTTCTTTCCTGCATTAACTATCAGTTGCATATGGAAATAGCAGTTAATGAATGGTACTATTTCAAGAAATGTAGTTAGCTGTGTTAATATGAAATCAGGCAGAAGGCAGGATCAATTTGAACCTTATAGACCAACTAAATCAGAGATACATGGCATAAACTTTTATAATCAGAGGGCTTGCTTGCAGCATCTGATGAAGTAAACCCACTGCTTATGAAAGTTTCTGCAGTACACCTCTGATTTAGTTAGTCTATAAGGTGCAAATCTACCTTGCAGTATTCCATAAGCTATCTATTGTATTTAAACAACTTGTTACATCAGTTGTAGCCAAAGACCATACAGAACCCCACTGTCAGAGCTTTCAGGCGCATTTCCCTCATGTTTCTTCAGGAACATTAAACTGTTTTTTAGTCTTGCATAGTGAGTTTCTGTATCCACCATGTTTACCATGTACCATAAATAATACCAACTATGTAGTGACCATTAAATATGAATAACCTGGCCTCTCTTCTAAGATTAGGAAATATGGGCTGAATTTTACAATGCCATCCTAGTTTCCACCAAAGCAATGAAGAAGCAGTATGGTTGATACAGGTGTAACTAATAAGTTTTACACCCTTGCAAAAACCCTACCACAGCGTAAGTGGGAAAGAGGGGATGCGTGGTCAGCTTTACTTGCTCTGGGGACTACTTAAGGTCCCGCTGTCTGCCCATCTCTGGCTGCTGCTCCAACAGCAGTTGCTACAATGGTGTTGTGGTGCTGCTACTGCTGGGGCACAGACTCCCTATTTCAGTGTCCCCAATAAATCAGTGCCTAGGGCTCATGAAACACTCACCCACCCTATTGGCAGTCAAGGAGAGAGTTTGCCAGGTTGAGTTACAAGAGCTGAAGTTCTAAAACTGGTTCTCCCACCAACTACCTGTTTGACTTTAGGCCAGTCACTTCATCTCCTGGTACATCTGTGTTCCCATACTTTGTCTTCAAGGCAGGGACTGTTTTTCTCACTATATGTTGGTACAGAGGCTGACATCATGCAACCATGTTCTCCTTTGGGGTCTTTTGGTGCTATTGTAACAGGAATGATGAATCACAACGCCAATGGAATGAGAGCAGCCCCAGAAAGATTAAAATCAGTGGTTCTCAAATTAGGGGTTGCAAGCCCACAGTGGTAGTTAAGAATGGGGATGCAAGCCCACAATTATTCCTGGTACCCACAGTTAACAGTATATGGGCTTTACCATGCAATAATTGCTTTTGTGCCTTGATTTCTCTATGGTTAGCACAAATTATACTGGAGCAACTTAACCCTCTTTCCTTCCAGGGACGCTATCTTAGTTTAGTTCTCACTGGCCATGTCTACATATGAACTTAAGTACAGAGTAGACTAATCAGCTGCAGAATAAAGTGTCACTGCCTACATATGCAACACTACTAGGCTTCAGTAAATTAATCAACACTGTACTTAATCAACAGAGAGATTAACAATGCAATTAATCAATTTTGCCAAGTCAGCTTAGGCAGCAGGGGGCCAGACTCCTACCGGCTGCCTACCTACACGGCTCTGCACTTTCAGCACCTTTGTGCCCCAGGCAACCTCTCACTCCATCCAGCAGAAAGAAGTAGATTATAAACACCTGAAAAACTGACACTCATCTGATGAAAGTCAGGTCTGTTGCTATTTAGGGTATGGACAAAGTCTACCAATTTATTCCAGCTTTTGCTGGAGACAGTGATTATAAACTTTGTGTTCTTTCTCCCAGGCAAACCTACATAATTATATGGATACTGGTTAGTGTATATTTTTTCCCATTTGACCTCAGATACAGTGATAAATATGTAATAACAAGCTTGCCATAGAAATAAAGAAAACATTTTCATACTCACATGCTGCACAGGAGCTGACAGTGGCATTAGAAAACTTTCCAGGATACCAGGCTTGAGGTTAGAACTTAGGGCCTAATTCTGCTTTCATTTATATCAGCAAGGTCATCAAAAAGAATTGGGTCCACATTATCCTACTGCAACAAATATACAGTGACATTAAGACGGGTATGGCAATGCAGTCTTTCTGATCCATACAGGTGTGAAGGAGGAAAAGTAAGAGAAACTGTCTTCTTAAAAATAGAAGCTGGAGTTAGGACAAGACTGTTTTCCAGTCTTACTAACAAGCACGTCTTGACATATTGTGCCATGCATGTAAGGTCCACTCTTCTCGTGATCACCAACATGGACTCCTCTCATGTCTGTCCCTTTCTTCTTCTTTGTTTCTATTTCTGCCTCCAGGGGGAAAGGGGCATGCCAGGGCTGCCAGGAAGACACGGAGCTAAGGTACCTTAAAAGAAATGGAAAGGAGTGGCATTAGTTCATCGACCCTACCCATACCTCTCAACTGTCCCTGACTTTCAGGGATGGCCCTTATTTGGTTTCTACAATGATTCTTCTCACTTTCTCTACTATTTTCTTTCTGCTTCTAAAATTAAAAATAAAGGGCCTAATTTATCAAAGGGATAATAGGGGAGCCATTTTACTCAACAAATGACCTGCCTTTTCCTGGTGCCAGGAGGCTCAATTCTGCAACGAACTGCATGTCCTCTAGTCCCACTGAAAACATCATCAGAACCTTAATGCTTTATTCTGATGAGACCTCCTGATAGTCAGTATTTCTAGGAAATCAGCATGTTGTAAAATGGAAATGAGCATGCTATGGGCCAACTTCACCATCACAAACTAAAGTTTCTTGCTTGTGTTATTCTACTGAAATAAATGGCATCACACCAGCGTCAAACTGGAATAGGGCAGTGATGAATCAGGGCCCCTGTCTATATATATAACGTGTGCTCACTGAAATTAAAAAATAAACATTGGAAAATATCACTGGAATTATTCACTGCAGTTTTAAAGCGGAAACACAAGAAATAGGGACGCTATCTGCCCAGTAAAATCCAAACCCCAGGCCACATGATCCCTTTCATGACTCTGGCCCATACTTACTAAAAACTACTCACCTCTGATACATTTCTGAATGCTTTTTTCCCCTTTTATTACATAGAATCCCTGATTTCCATCTTCTGTCCTTGTGTTTTTTAGCTTTGTCCCTGATTTCTGTTTCAGAAAGTTGAGAGGTATGATCCTGTCCCACTCTTGCTTCACATTCTTCCCGTTTGAACTTTTCCAAGCTCTTTCTGGCTATGAACTCTACTGTTCCATCTCTTTTCCTCTTATCTGCTATATTCCCAATCCCTCTTGTATCCCATTTCTAACCCTGCCTCATTTCCTCCTGCTCTACATCCCTTCCTAGATCTTCATTACCCTTCACATTTGCTTTTATAACTGGAAATGTGTAAAGGACCTAACCTGTACTAACATTTAGTATACAAAGATGTGGTCTGAGCAAGGGAATGATGTTTAAGTTTTGCTTTCACACCATGTCTTTAAGGGAAATATAATCCTACCCACAGGAGCACCTGTCTTGAGGGGGCAGTCAACACCCTTCTCAGTCTCCAGGGGAAGATTACATTCCATAAGCTGTTGGTGGCATTTTGCTTTGCTTTGCAGAATGATGCAAGAATTTGAGTGCTTGAAAGAGTTTTTTCCCATGGTAGCTGGCTTCACAGATCCCTCACAAAGCTCATACTAAATGTTTTGAATTCTGTGGTACTACAGAGTAATGCTGGTGAGCAAGACCAAGAACATTTTTCCCTCTGTTCTGATTTGACCTTTTTCAGAGACATTAAAAAAAAAAGGACCTGAATTCAAACATTTTAGTTGATAGGGGGTCTTCATATTTTCTATCTGATTTTCAGTGAGCCAGCACTGCTTCTTGATGGGTCACAGACCCAATGTGACAGAGTAACAGCTACATTTGGAGGAAGGAAATAGTAGTTTCATCTGAGTGGGTTGAGCCTGTGGGGACTTCCATGGCATGGTCTCTTTGTTTTACTAGACAGCAGAGCCACTACCATAAGGAAACTCCCCATTTTGGGGAATAAAGATGGATGTGTGTAGTTGTAGCTGCTACTGTGTCTCTTCTGAGATTTGGATAAGGAGACAAGGATTCCTTTAAACTTTTCACCCAGTGATGCTGTTTATGTAAGAATATATATATTTACTTAATTTCAAAGTGTTCTTTCCTCTCTTTCTGTCAGGGGGTTCCTGGAATGGCTGCTGCAGGGATGAAGGTCAGTTTTGCATTAAAGTGCAGCCTGTTAGGCCACAGTGAGGAGAAGAGGGAAGGTTAGGACATAGATAGGAGAGATAGCTTGTAGTCCTAGATGGATGGCCATTGATCATCCTGGGAAAGGCAAGGATTAAAAGAAAACACAGACATTAATTGCCTTTCCTGCCATGTCAGGGTAAAGATTCATCCACAGAAAATTAGAAACTCAGGATAGATTAAAAAGGGAGAATGTCTATTCCTTTCAATGGGGAGAACTAGGGATCTGTCTACTTAGTTGCTGACACCAGTGAAAGAAGGCCTGAGCCCTTCCCCAGATTGGTCAGCTAAATTTTACCTGTATCCACTCTAAGCCTAATAAAAAAAAGTCAAGCTTCTCTTGATTTCAGCTCCTCTCAACTCCAAATCTAAACTGTATTTGAACCTCCATATTTCTTGGTTCCATGTTATTTTCTAATAAATATAAATATATAGACATCAGACAGACAGACATTTTATATCTAGCCAAATAAACGTCTGCTAAAGTAAACCTTACACCAGGGTTCAGCTACCATGGTAACAGGAAAACCTTTCAAATCGGTAAAGGCAGGAATTGCCAGATTAGCTGGCCAAGTGGTGCACAGATGAATCCCAAAACCAACTGAATAATAATAGGGGGTGCATCTACATGAGACATTTACTGCAGAGCTAAGTAATTAGCTCTGCACTAAAGCATCACCATCAGCATCTACACATGCAGTGCTGTTAAGCCAGAGTAAAATAATTAACTCCACTGTAAGATAGTACTGCCCAACACAAATAGTGTCCTATGGTGGATGTATTTACTCCACTGCAACGTATGTGTAGATGCTGACCAAGACTGGCTGGGGCATGCTGGCTAGCCATTCACTGGAGCACCCTCATGCCCCAGTGCCTCTGCAATGGGGTGTGTGAAGCTTTGGTCGCTGATTCAGAGAAGATTTGGCCCAATTCAGAGGCCAAATCACTGAATCCGAATCGAATTGGGAGACCAAAAAAACCCTCCGAATCAATTCGGAGCCTCTGAATTGATTCAGAAAAGATTCATAGATTTGGAGATTCAGAAGGCAATCTTTAAGGGGAACAGAAACTGAAAAGAGGAAGAGAGAGCAGGCCAGTGCTGTAGCTGGCCAGTGACTGTGATCTTTCCCTGAGTCCCCTTCCAATCACAGTGCGCTGGGAAAGGGATGTAGAAACAGCACATAAGCCTCTGTCTGCAGCTTTTCTATCCCTTTTGTGAGCTGTTTCTGCCTGAGCACCCAGAAGGCCCCCTCTTACAAGCTACCATCCCTGCTGGTTTCATCCCACTGTGCCTTAACACACACAAAGTTACATGTCACCAGTTTTGCTTGTCAGGAGGTGCAGTTTCCTAGAAACCCCTGAACCTATCTCCTTGAAACTTGACAGGCCTCATGCCCTCAAAACAGGCTACCATCCCTGCTGTTTTAATTCAAATCTGCCTTGACACACATACAACATGAGTTCTGCTTTCAGCTGTTCGAGGTGCAGTTTCCCAGAAACCTCTGCACCTATCTCCCTGAAAGATGGCAGGCTTCATGCCCGCAGAATGAACTATCGTCCCTGCTGTCTTCATCCAAATCTGCCAAAGAATGACAAAGTTATAGGTATTTCAGTGATTCCCCATTATAGTCTATGGCCGAATCTCTTTGAATCAGCGCCGAATCTTCTGAAGCCAATTCGGCCAAATTGATTCAGGACAGTGATCCGAATCTCCTAATTGAATCACTGTCCTCCAAATTGGCTGAATCCAAATCAAATACTTCCCTATTTGCACAGGCCTACTCTGCAGCACATTAAGCTGGGTGGGAGCAGCCCTGGACTAGCAAGATGCCCCCAGGGTCCGCTGCCAGCCAGGGCTGCTTCACCCCAGTTCAACATCATGCAGTTCCAGGCACACATGTAAACACTGTCCTGGGGAGCAATAAACTTTGGTGTGAACTTTGCGCCAGAGTTTATTATCTTAAATTAATATCATGTCCCAAGGAAAACATGGACTGCTGTGCCTTTATGACTGACTTCAGCAACCAATGAAAATGCTTGGAGGAAAGAAGCACTCTTTTTGAGTGGTGGTGAAGCCTCTCTCTCCCATTCTTATTGGCTGAGATAGCTTTGCCACCACCACAATCCCACACTTGTAAAGCACTGTACACAAGAAGGAGCCACTTGTAATTGAAGGCTCTGGGTGTTACTGTATACAAATGGTTAGCAATAATAGCAGCAGCAGAAATGCTAAGGCCAGCATAGCTGTGAAGGTAGCAGCTCAGGAAAAAAATGTCAGCATTAGCATCTTCCTGAAATTGTGAGAGATCTAATTGGACAATCCCAGACTTCTTGCTAAGATCTCTTGTTGCATGGCTTTTAAACAGGCAGGTCTTGGAAGTTGTTTCTTGAAAAACAACTCAAATTGGTTGTACACCTGCACAGTGGTGACATGTAGGGGGTGCACGGGGGTGCATGTGCACCCCCTGAGAGCACTGGCGCACCCCCTGACAGCCAGTGCTCCCCATTTAGGCAACGGGCAAGGGGGGCAGGTGGGAGCACTTGTGCCTCCCCCTGCAAGTGCCAGCTTGCGCTTCCGGGTCGGCGCGATTGGCTGTGGGGGACACCCCCCCTCAGCTGCTGACTGGCTACTGTGGGGGCACATGCCCCCCCTGACTCAGGAGGCACCAGTTGCCCATGCACCTGCATTTTATCAGTGGTGCTTTCAGCCTACAGCTATATACCATGCCCTCAAAATAAGGACAAAAACAAGAGCCTCATACAAAAACAAATAAAATCAAATGTGTCTCCATTAGCAAGCCTTTAACATTTCCCAAATGGTCTGTATGCCCTGACTTACAAAAATCTAAATTCAAATTGAAATCATACTGCAGCAAGGCATTGGCATGAGGGCTTCTCTGCAAACGCTCACTTTTTCTTTTTAGTAGCTCTACATGGGGGTCCACCCCGTGTTTTTTCTTGTCTTCTCACTATTTATTTTTCCATTTTTTCCTCATGCAGGGAGAGCCAGGCACTCCAGGAGAAAAGGTATCACTTGAAATGCATAGCTGTTCCAAATCTGCATTTCCTACATTGTTTGTAGACTTGGCCCAAGATCAATATGGTACCTGAGCCTGAGACAAACTGGGCATGTCTTCACATTCATTAATGTGCCACAGTTAGTGTGCATTAAGTTTAGTACTCGGTTAACCAAGTACTAAATCAATGCACAGTAACATGTGCTACTGTGCTCTAGCACTGGCACACGGGTTTAGAGATGCTTACTGTGCAGTAACCTAAAACTACTGCACAGTCGTGTATTAGCACAGTTTTTGCCCAGCACACTACTGCACATTGTTATTAGGCTACTGCACAGTTAGCATCTCGTGTAGATACACCTGCTGAATAACTTTTCTTCGTAACAGAGGGAGATGCACATTTTATAGAGACTTCCATATTGCAAATAGTCTCTCTTTGGTTCTTTCCCTTTCCTATTCCTTCCTGCTTTGCCTATAGGCATATTATTTGGCTACTCTATTTCTTTTCCTGTCTGTCCTACAGGATATATAGCAACACAGTTTTACTGAAGAGTATGTCATCTCACAGTCTCCCAGACCACTCCTCCCCACTTGTACTTGTACCTCCACTAGGCACATGCCCATTTTGCAGAATAAGGATGCAGTCTTTTTCACAGTCATTGTGTAAATTGGTCCTAGGTTTTATGTCCAGTTATATCAATATCATGTAAAACAATGCAGCAAAAAATATTGCAGAAATATCCTTGAATGCTCACAGGAACACAGGGCAGCAAAGTCTTGTTTGATCTTAAACCAGGTGTGTTGCGTTTGTTGTGCTTTGCAGAGATAACCAGCCATATAACAGATGATTTTTTTTTAATCAACAAGGGAGAACCTGGAGTTCCAGGGAGGATGGGCCCCCCAGGTTTGCCAGGGAAAAGGGGGCAGAGGGTAGGACATTGTGTGTTTGGGCTTGATTTCTTAGCACTGCTATACTGGGCCGTTCCTCCTCTTTGGTGCTGGCTGAAGAGAGACTGTTTTGCACTGCATTTCTGTGCTTGAAGTGGAATGCTCGTATCCCATTGTTGAAGCTCTCAGTGCATGGGTGGAGTGAGCTTTGTATGTTACTGCTTGCAAGAGACGGCACAAGAAGTGGGAGCAAATTAATTTTTAAAGGAATTAAGTATTTGGTTTTAGCTTTCTCCTGATAAGTTTTAATTCCAGCAGTAATAACTGACCTGAGGTGCAAGTAATCTGAACACCACTGGAATCAACATGTCTTAAATAATATTTATGCTAAGTCTTTATATGTCCCTTTCTGCTAGGGCCCCCCCATGACAGCTGCCCATTGGCAATAATCTTTATCTTTAAAGTACATTGGAAAGAAAATAATGCTGAATACAGCAAAAGCAAAAGGCTGGACTCAGAATGGAGTGAGACAACAGATTATTCAGGAGAGAAAGATCCCTCGATATCCAAACTAATGCACTGATTTACTGAAACAGCTAGATTGTGTGAGCAACACATAATTTTTGCAGGTGCCAGGTAAATTGCAAGTGGAAATCAGAGCACTTGTACTTCTAAACACCTATTTGTGAGTATAGTCAGGTCATTACTAGTAGAATTTGTTACTGGTAAGTCCATTTTTGCTCAGGACTCAATGTAGATTTCGGTCTTATAAACCCTAGAAAAAACAGGGGACTTTTATAAAATGAAGCTGTTTGGAAGTGTTAGGATATGTTCTTTCATCTTGGATCTGCTAAATACCATGTCCCCATCTCTAATCACTGCTTACTTCTTTTTAATTATTGACTTCTACTGCCAGCTCTTCAGCATCTCAGAAAACACTCCACATACACTAATGTGTATTCAACTAGTGGACCAATCTGAACAGATTCAGACATTCTAGAAATGACCAATATTCTAAACTTGGGAAATGCAAGCCAGCCTATTGTCTTCTCCAGGGAGAAAATCATTAGTTCATGATAACAATGAGTATGTTATGAGGGGAAGAATGACTATTGGGCATTTTGAAGGTTATAATGTCTTATAAAAAGGCTGTCGGGGGGGGTCAGAAATGTCTAGAATCTTTTCCTTTTATTAATTGTCATAAGCAATAGCATGCATGCCTTTTCTCAGAGTATTCATGCAAGTATCATGCATGTTAGATATCTGTCCTTGACCTCTGTTGAAATAAATGTACATCAAAATGCACAGGTACAGAATATGGCATGCAAGGAAAAAGGCATTCTTTATCTAGAATTCTTGTTTTCTGGATGTCGTTGTTGTTGCAGTGGAGTCACAGACTCTTGATTCTGATTATTTAAGAGCAGGAGTTGGCAACATTTTCCAGCAGTGGGTCAAAATGACCCAGCTTGGGTCTGAGGCAGGCCGGCACTAGGACTTGGCTGTCTCCACTATTTCTCCCTGCTGTTCAGCTGTAGCGCAGCATGGGTTGAGTCCTCTAACCGCCTGACTGAGGCACACTGTGGGCAGTCAGCCCATGTCTTCCACAGAAGCCCGCCACTGCTTGACTGTCACAGAGCAGGCAGAGACCCTCACTGCTGAAGCCACAGTTTTGTGGACTGGGCCATAAGTGTCAACTCCTGCTTTACAAAGTTATATAGAGCACATTTCTAAGTTAACTTGCTTTAAAAAGTAAGTTAACCTGCTTTCAAAATGGTGCTGCATATCTATGCACTTTTAAGAAATACAGGCAAGTAACTGCCTTGTGCATGTCTCGCTCTTTGCTTATATTAACTTATAAAAGTTACTAACTTTGAAGAACTAAGAATTACAGGTAAGAAAATATCTCTAACAACAAATGTTACTGTATTAAACCTGTTCTCTGTAAGGCTAAAATATTTGTAAGTGTACTTGCAACAGCAAAGAAGGAAGAGTAAGAAAAAACATGCTAACTATCTTTGCTAACATGCTAACTAAACATGCTAGCTATCTTTACACAGAACCTCTGGGGAAGTCATTCAAAATACCTTGAATTTGGGCTTAACTTTAAAGCGTATACACTATGAACAGACTAGACAGGAATTTATCCAGAATTTGTCAGGCACTGAGTTTGTTGTGGAACAAACCTCTAAGGCACACAACAAATATTACAGTGAATAAAATAAGGTTGCTTTGCCAAACTGAACACTGGGTGGCATGCACGTGCCCATTATGCATCCAAACTGTATTTCTCCAGCTGCTCCAATTGCTATTCCTGCTGCATTTTTTGCTTGCTAGTGGTCCTGTCATGAATGATCTATCTGGTCCTCTTCTGTCCTTTTAGCTTTCCGTACTCCTGTTTCCACCTCGTTTCATTAGCACTGAGCAGTATAGAATGTTATTGCTTTAGAGATGATGCACTGATTTTTAAATAGCAGCGAGGGAAAGATTTGGTGTTATCAATTTACTACAGTATGAACAAATATAATCAAGCAGTGGATATATCAAGGGCCTTAAAAAGGGTGTAAGCAGCATCTCCAAGATGCCCTTACTGCCAAGTGAGTTTGGAAGTGTGCTTAAAGATGTCATTCAGGTTGGGTCCTGCACTGTATTGTGAACAGTTGTGGTGGCAGCAGGAGCAATAACATCTTTAAGAACTGATGTGGAAAGTTATTTCAGGTGCCACCCCTCAGGCAATCTCTGGTGGTATCACATTATCAAGCCGTGCTGCACAATGCTATCCAGTCACAAGTGTATGAAGTTTTACATGGGACCTGCTGGTGAAAAAGGCTTTATATTTGGGTAATCAGTAGAACTTTGTTTTACGGTTCTTGCACAGTCAGAGCACTGAGATTCCTGATGAGGTGCAAGATCACCTCAAAGATGACTTCAAGAACTGACACCTCCCAGGGCCAATCTGCAGTGCTGGAAATTATCATAGCTCATTTAAGGCAATGGAAATGGGGATGTGAAGTGTCCCTTTTGCTTGATTCCATATTAGGATTTTTGTCTGCTGCTAATTTTCAAATATTAATGTGCTGAATGAGAGTGCACTATAGAATGAGCATAACTACAAGTGACAAACAATTAGCAACACCTAGAGCAATCCATGTAAATGAGTTTGTAAATGTTGGTCTTTAGGACTTTGCAAAAACTACACTGTTATTAAAATAATCAATGCCTGCATAATGATGAGGTTTAACTAGGGACAAGTCATATGTAAAGAGTTGCCCTTTATAATTCTCCTATACCAGCACCTCCCTACCTCCCCCAGCAGTTTCATGTTCTGATGCATGTAAATCCAACAGGTTTCTTTGGATTCACACCATACAAAAAGATTGCACCTGGAGGAAAACTAAGGTTTTATCAAACAAACAATACAAGTCAGGAGGAAAATACTCCATTAAATTGTAATTCTAAAGTTTGGAATGGCTCTTTACATGGTTGGGTACAGCAGCCTTTTATTGCTAAAAATCTATGGGAAGGAACTGCCAATGCCACTAAGATCATAAAGGATGTATTTGGTAGCCGTGTTGGTCTGAGGCAAAAAGACATGCAAAAATGGGGGGGCAGGGAGGGGGGTAAACAAAGAAAGAAATGCAAAAATTTAGAACTCTAAGATCATAAGGCGTAAGGGGAAAGGATAGCACTGACAGGAGAAAATGTTAACATAATAAGCAGATCCTGAAGTCTTGGCAAAAAGGCACGTTCCAACTTTGAAAAGTTTGATTGCCTCTTAGAAGAAAATCCCACAGAGAAAAAAAGGGAGTTTTAGCAATATTCCAGCATTGTAACAGATGACATCTGCCCACCACTTTGGGGTGGTGTTGCAAGGGAGAAAACTCTTTTAAGAGCCAGCCCCTAACTATCTGCTTTTCATCAACAGGGAGAGAAAGGAAAAGCCGGTGATCCTGGCTTGCCTGGGCTCCTCGGAATAAAGGTTTGTCACAATCTCTGACCTTTTCTGTCACTTCTCATCCCAGTTTGTTTTCCCCAGTATAGCATCAGGCAGCTTGCATCCATGTACGGACCAGCTGTAGGGTTTGCCTATGCTACTGGGTTGTTGCTACTTACTAGTGCAGTACTTTGGTATCTGTGCCTCCTGATGTGGACACAGGCATTCAACAGGAGGAGATTGTCTGCTGCAAGAGCTACATCAGCTCCCCTGAAAAAACAAGCTTTGCAGGCAGAAGCCTTCTTCTGTTGGGAGAGCAACACTGGCTATGAGGGCAGAGCTTTATAATATAAATAAGACTGTAGACTGCATGCACGTACACCCACACTTGCACACATGCATGTAAATGCACATACACAAATACACTGGCATATAGTTACCATGTTTTCTCTACACTAGCTGCATGATAGAAGCAGGCTCTTCAGACAATAAAAACATGAGTATATGGATGGTTCCCCTGAGGAAAGAAGGATAAATTCTTTGGGGACAAGATTCCTCATCCTACCTTAAAATACCTCCCTTTTCAGTAGCTGCAAGCTATCATTTTTCAAGGCCAGTTCAAGCAGCAGCAAAATACTGTACAACTTATATTAACAGCATTATTTAAATGATTATTCATGTTTTAAAAATAACTCAATACCTAGAATGACAACTCTACTGATTTAAAAAAAAAAAGAAAAAAACAAGACAAAACAATGTCATGCACCCAGAAATAAAACACTGAGGATCAAATATATGCGGACATAATGGGGTCAACTCTACCAAAGGCACCAGAGACGTACCTATTTTTATAACGATGATGAATCTGGTCTATACAGTAGGAAAGAATAGCAATTTAGGGGACTTATAGGAAAATACATTCTTTCATCTTTAGGGCATTGTTTTCAAAATCCAGCTCAGACTAGTGGTAACTGAATATTCTTTATTGGATGCTGTATGTAAAATAAACTGGTGGTTTTAATACAGATCTTAGTATATGTCACACACTTTCCCCACAAAATTCAGCCACAACTGGCAGTGATTTTTATTCTTTATGGAAAGTCAGCAAATAGGCTATAGATTTAATATACTACTGTAAAGTAGGGGTGTGCAAAATGGGTTCTATTCAATTTGGGTTCGGCCCAAATCAGGGACAGTGATTTGATTCGTTGATTTGGATCACTGTCCCTGATTCATTTTGGCTGAATCCAAATCTGAAGATTCGATGCTGATTCAGAAAAATCAGCGATTCGGACATAGACACAGCTTTAAATGTTTTTTCTAGGTAACTCAAGGTACCAGCGCAGCTCGTGAACACTGCAATGCTGGAGCGGATGGAACGTCCCACAGAAGCGCAGGAGTCCCTCCTACATGCTCGGTGGTGAACCTGGAAGTGGACCAGAAGTACTTCCAGGCCACTTCTAGGTCTGCCAGGGAGCGTGCCAGGGGGCCCCTCCATGACCCCCTGGCTTGGCAGTCAGCCGCAGGAGGACCTCAGGTGTCCCCCCCCAGACCCAGGAGGCACCAGTTGCTGAGACAGGGGGCATGAGGGGCCCCCCAGTGCACTCCCCAGTGGACCCGGAAGTGGACCAGAAGTGCAGTGCTTCTGGCCCACCTCTGGGTCTGTTGCCAAGCACGCTGGGGAGTCCCCCTGCTCCTGTGGGACACTCCATGTGCCCCAGCATCGCAGCATTCATGAACCACCTACCTAGAGGTATGTAGAAAAAACATTTAAAGCTATGTCTATGTCCTAATTGCCAAATCTTTCTGAATTTCTCCGAGTAGATTCAGAGGGTTCTGATTCAATTTGGAGAGATTAAAGGGTCCTCTGATTCAATTTGGATTTAGAAATTCAGTCACCGAATTGGGCCAAATCGCCGCTGAACTGAATCAGGGACCAAAGCTTCACACAGCCCTACTGTAAAGGTCATTGTAGAAAACGATTCAGGCACAATGAGGAAACACCACGAGCAAATGTACATTGGTACACCCTGTGGGCTGCAAAAGCAGAAAGGAATTCACACTGCAAAGCTATCAAATGTGTTGCTGGAGAGGTAGGAGGTGAAAAGCAATAGGAGATGAAAGAAGCTAGATTGGGCCAGGCAGGGAGTTTATCCAGAGTGACTGGGTAAACAGAATGGCTGGATTTTGTGTGACGCTAGAAGGTTCTCTCCCCCCCACCAAGGGGGTCACATGTATCACTTCCTGAAGTGGAGAAGTTTTGAAGCACTCCTTGTTAAAGTGCTGGCAGCACAGTACTGTCTGCAGTGCTTTGGCTGAACTTTGTACTCAAATCTGATAATGGAGTGTGTCACGGGGTAGGGTCCTAAGAGCGGCCGTGATCTCTCCTGGCGCCCCCTACTGTGCCAAGTCAGTGTCAATGCACCCTCGTTCTCGGCCGCCATGTCTTTGATGTTAAGAGTATTAAGGGAGGCTGCCTTTAGTCCTCCTTGACACGGTACCCCTGACGTACTCCAGTCTGTGCCCCGTCTAGGGTGACTCGGTGCCCTCATGCCTTAAGGGCTATGCGTGGCTCCTACCACCCCTAATACCACACCCCGAGCCTCGCAGATGTCCCGAACGTTGTCTAGTCAATTTCTCAGATGGCCTGCGTCCTCACAGACGCTCCCTGGCTTCTTCTGCGGTTGCTGCCCGCCCTGGGGCCTTTCTCTGTGCTCTCTGCCCACGCTGGGGCCTTGCCTTGCAATTGGGGCTCAGGTGGCCGTAGCCGTACCTGGCCCCGAATCCCCTCCTTGGGCCTTAATACAAGCACCCTCTGGGGCTTCTCACCATTGGGGCTCAGGCGGCCATAGCCGTGCCTGAGCCCTAAATCCCCTCCTCGGGTCTACAATTCCTGTGGGGGCTCAGGCAGCCTCGACCTTACCTGGCCCCCAATCCACTGTCCCCCTTCTCAGGGCTGGGGTCAGTGCACCCCTGAATGCTGTGCCCCCTCTGGCACCGGGGTCCCCACACTGTCATGGAGCCCCTATGAGGCCTCCTCCAACCCCTGTCAGCCTCACCCAGTCCTCCGGTGTAACAACAAACAACAGAATGTAATAACATGAGCCAATCGGCTACAACGCAAAGCTAAGCCTCCTGGCTAAAATGTAAACTCTAAACCATCAGGCCATTTATCCTCCCAAATCCCTACCAGGGCTTCCTCCACCCGGTCTCCTTCCACAGAAGCTGTTCAGACCATCGGGCTTCTCTACCCTGCCTGCTTCAACAGAGCTCCAACTTCCTCGGTTGCCAGAGGGGAACTGTCTCTGGCCTCAGCCTGGCTTGTTTATATAGGCCAGGCCCTGCCCCCTTCTGGTCAGCTGACCAAACTGCGGTTGCCCTGGCAACTGGCACCTGTCCCTTTTTCTAGAAGCAGGGCACTTCAGTGCCCTGTGACAGAGTGCTACAGCCAAAGGTGGAGATGCATTAGCAGCTGCATCTTTGGCTGGCTTTGTTAGTTTTCACTCTAAACATTCATATTCATTGATAAATAACAAAATAAACTACACCTGCATTCCAGGATATCATCAGGCAGCCAACTACTGGGGTTACTGCTCACACCTCACCCCCCAACCCACTCTGAAAACAACCAGCAAGGCAGGTGAGGTTACAAAGAGGTGAACAAATTTAATTGACTGGGTTATTTTTCCTTGCCAACAGGGAGAGAAGGGAGATGCTGGTAATGTGCTCGGGGGAGGTAAAGGAGAAGCTGGACCCCCAGGATTACCTGGGGCCCCAGGACCAAAGGTGTGTATATTGCCCCCAACACACTCTATATTTATCTTTTGTATGGGATATGTGCCTTGCATGGAGTGCTGAGGAGGAGGTGAAGTTTGCATTCATCTGCACCCAACTGGATTTAGGCCAAGATTTCATAAACTGGCCAGGCTCTGCAGGGTTGTTTAGTTTGTTATTTTAAACATTGAAGGCTAGAACATGTATTAACTGAATTTTTAGGGAAAAAACCCTACTTGTGTTTAAATTATTTTCCTACAGGGGCTGTAAGTAAACAATCCCCCACAATCACCACCAGTTTTTGATGCCATACGTGCCAGAGGAGACAGGGAGAACATTGTGTACCAGAACTCTGAGATCTTCAGAGAACCAACTCTTATCCATACTTTCCTTCCCAGACAATTAGCAGCTCAGAAATCCTGCTTAATGGCAAAGGACAGTTAAAGCATTTAGTTTCCTAAGACTGGCTCCATTCAGGATGTGTTAAGAGGTGTGTTAATGGGCTGAATTCTGATACTTTCACTCATGCTGAGTCACACCTTTATCCAGAAGTAGTGGAGAAATGGGAACTTACCCCAGATATTGAGACTACCAAAAGAAATCTGAATGTTAAGATAGTAGAATTCTACCTATCTTAGTGGAATTCCATCAATTTTAATTGTTATCAGGCTTAATCATTTCACCATTTTTTAAATTGCTCTTTTCTGCACATTTATGTTGATCTGTTCCTTCCCCTACCCCCAACTTTTTTTTAAGGGAGAAGCTGGTGACATTGGCCAGCCTGGACTGCAGGGAGAAAAGGTATGAAGGGAATGGGAACAAATGGGACCTTTGAGAAGGATTCCAAGACAGGGAGTGCAGTTAAAATGCAGCAACTGGGAAAAATATTGTTTTGCAGCTGTTTCCCCTAATCAAATAACTGATGGCTATAGCCAATCATGGAAAGAAACATATATATTTTCCTATACACATTACATTTCCTGCAACCTGTCATGTGCAAAGCAAACAGAATATCATTAACCAACTGGCCCATGAGCCCAAGTCCTGGACACAACAGTATTTCTGGGAAGCAGAAAGACATGCAGTGCTGGGGGGCAGGTAGTGGGATTGGCTGGCACAGCATCCCACATTTAGTTGTTGCCACTGCATAAGCTAACCAAATGGGGTGCATCCCAATATTTTGGTCACCCACAGCAGGACAGAGGAGCCAAGGGACTGTGGAAAGGGACAGATAGAAAAAGCTCTGTGGAAAAAAAGGCTTGCAGCACAGAGGAAATGCTGATCTCAAAGGCTAGGGACAGACATTACACATAAACCAGTTTAAGTGATCAGAAACTGGTTTAAACCTATAACATAACAGAAGTTCTGTGCACATAAGCCAGTTTGAAAATTTCCAGAACCAGTTTGAGAGAAATTTGGTTGAATGTAGTATCTGACTTAACTGATTTGGGTCAAACCGGTTTAATGCAATGTCAGTCCCAGGCCCCTTTCTGCTTTAAGTTAAATCAGAGTCCCCCAGCATCCTGGCACGCTCTCTTGGCTGGGCAAGGCTCTCTGCTCCAGAGAGCTGGGCTGGCCCCTCCCCTTTGCTCCCTGGCTGCAGCTCCGGCAGAGACTGCTTGTACTGCAGGGTCTGGCTGGCTTCCTCCTGCTCCCCCACTCCCCTTCAACACTCTCTGATGAAGCAGGGATCCCCCCTCCCCTCTGCCTTACACAGACACCTCTCAGCATTAGCTAGCATACCACAGGTTGGCTATGGTCTGTGCTGTGGGAGACAGGACAAAGGCAGACAGGACTGTGTCAATTTAGGGCTTTGTGGAGCTAATCAACAGGTAACTGGTAACGTCCCTCCATTCCTTTCTTGGAAAAGCTCTTCAAGAAGAGCTTGAACTAATGGAGAGAGGCTGTTGTTTTCTTAAAGAGCTGATAAACACTGAGTTAGGGGTGATAACACTATGTAGGAAACTCCCTGCTGGGCTGTGGGGGGAGAAGGGGGCTCCCTAATCAGAGCGTCCTGCTGGGACCTGGCCATACCCTGCCTCAGCTCAGCTCTGTATAAGGGAAGGGAGGGCTATTCTAGTGCTCCTCGGCTTCTAGCCTGAGACACCACAGGCATGTGCTTGCATTTTTTCATTCCAGAGGGGATGTCTGTACACTTACAAACTGGTTTAGCCTAGCCAGGTTAGACTAACCAGCAAAGATTAAATCAACTCAGGCTTAGGCTTTTTGAATGTCTGTCCCTAGCCAAAAAGAAATGCATCAGGAACTAGGATTAAGGGGTCAAGAGGACAGGGAAGATCAAAATCATTTTAAGTCTTCTGGGTTCTCACTGGGCTAACCACCTCCTCAGAACAGTCTGTGAACATCATACTAAGGTATAAAGAATGTTAAAAATATCTTGCTCTGTGGAAAGTGTTGCTTCGTCTGCTCCAAAGCTATAATATTAGCTATATTTCCTACTGCATTGAGTGTTATCCAAAACGACAAGAAGCTTAATTTACTGCCTAATATGTTAACATAGCATGTGTGATTGTGGATAATGGTTCCCTCATGGAACATGAGTTTTCTGTTCTCATTTGAAAACCATACAAGATTATCAGTTTACCAGATTATCAACTGCAAGATACTTGCATATAGGATTTCATATCCATATAGTGTGAGTGTGCATGTAATTGTATTGAGGAATGTATATTGAAAAGAAATAATATAAAGGGCCAAATATGCAATAGAGTATAAGGGAAATTATTCTGGTTTGGTGTCCTCCCTACATTTTCATGGACATTGTTTTGATATAAATCAAGGTGCTAATTATTTTCCATCTTTGAATGTGACGTCTAAGAGTAGCGAATGGAGCATGTAGGAGGATCAGTCATTTAGTGTTATTTATCATCGGAAAAACACCATATGGCTTCTTTACGTCCAGCTCTCTGACCTGAAAGTATCAGTTTTGTCTAGCAAAATTTTTTGCTGTAAAAAAAAATCTCAGGCACTGCAAAGGGGGTTGATATGTAGTGATGTGTTGGACAGGAAAACCATGCTATTATTTTCACCAATGTCATTGAACAATGAGACATGAGGAAGGGAATCATGATACCTGAAAGCTTGTTGTCTATCCCAACCATGCAGTTGGTCTAATAAAGATATAATCCATGAAAATTCATGCCATTGAAAAATGAGAGCATTTCTTCCTGTAAGAATCACTTCACTCGATGTGCATTTAGCATTCTATGTCAAGTGTCCCAACATCTAAATCTGACCAATGCCATGGGAATAATTAATTTTTCAGTTTTGGCAGCTGAACTGGAAAAAATCATTAAAACATGTCATTTGGGGTCACTTTTGAAATGAAATTTTATTTTTATTTTTCAGCAAACTAAAAAGAGATCATGTCAGGATGTTGCATTTAACCTGAAACAAGTTATATGTTTTGCTCATTCCAAAACGAGCCATTTTGTTTATGGGCTAATTGTTAATAGATGCGAAGGGGTAGTTTCCCAAGGAGAGAGTAAGGAATTATAATTCCATCTGTGGGATATGAACCTGAGGAGACAAAATATGCTCAACCCCTTTTAGAGGGTCAGTTTTAGAACACAGACTAGCTCTATGGTACCTCACAGAGACAGCAGAAAACTCCAGACATCAAGAGCCTCAGAAGTTTAGGTTTATAAAATAAGGTGCATTGACATGCAGTGCCCTTTTTATTACAGGGAGAACCTGGTGCACCTGGAGATCATGGACCCGTTGGTCCAAGGGTAGGTGCCACTTACCCAACTAACCTGGGTCTTCCTTTATGAAAAAAATGAGAAATATTAGAAAGAGCAAATGACAATATGTCTGATCCTAATGCGTACCTAAGCAGTTGGTATATCTATGCTACACCACAGTGCACTTTGTGTTTCTTTTGGCTCCCAAAATCCCGTTACCATAATTAAATTCGTTTATAGTTAGTTTGTCTTGTCATAATGGGGGAAAGCAGCTGAAGCCTACTTGTAAGTCTCACCTATACTACCTGGTTTTGAGCATCAACAGCTGAATGTATATGCTCTGTACAGGTGCTTGGCCAGCATGTGTCAACCTGAGCACCCATATTTATCTGTCCAAATGTGAAAATTGCCACAGGTCAAATTTCTGAATTCTGTTCCACAGCTTAGTTATTCAGTAGAACAACTGAGCTAGCAGCAATGCTGATCCTCTTTGTACTACATACTGATGTTGGATAGCCATAAAAATATCCCCATAGGTATATCTATTGATCATTCTTTAAACTTAAATTTTAAAAAATATAGGCCCTTAAATTGCTTCCCTAAGCACATCCCCCCTCTCCCCTTCACATCATGGTGAACATCTGTATTTCAGCTCAGAGAAGATTATGGGGGAACTACATCCTTGGGCAACTCTGCTCTGTATTGGCCGGTTGCGCCCTGACTGGAGTTCTGATTCATTTTATAGGGTCCCAAAGGAGAACCAGGAAAGGATGAAATGGTGGATTATGGTGGTAATATCAATGATGCTCTACAGGTGAGGAACTGCTACATGTATCTTGGGAGCCATGTTCAGTGACTTCTGGAGTAAGCTGTTCATTATTTTTTGAGGGACCTTTTCTTAGACACCCTAGCTCTTTCTAGCTCATTTTGCTCTGGGGCAACTGAGAGCTCTTCAGCAAAGTTGCAGGCTAGTATCCTAAGTGATGGAGTTCTGGACCAAGGAAGAAATGCACTGTTGTGCCCCAGCCAGCCACTCCAGCATCTACATATGCACTGCTATGGAGTTTTTACTCCACACCAGGATAGTATTTGTATTTACTAGTACTATCCTGCTGACATTAGTTTATTCCAGCCTAACAGGGATGGACATGTAGACGCCAATATGTTTAAATGCTAATTAGTCAACTGTGGAGTAAATGTCTAATGAAGATGCATCAAGTATGGACAAAACTAAACATGTCAGTTTGGTCCTTCCTAGTTCTTCTTCCATAATAAGAGTAATGAATATTATTCAGTATACATGATGCTTTTATGCCATTATTGATAAAAGAAAACAAATAAAAATCACTTAACTTCCAAGTTGTAATTTTATTTCTGTTTTACTCCTTCCTTCATAATTTTTAGGAAATACGAACCTTGGCCCTGATGGTGAGTCTGTATTCTTGACTGTGTATTTTGTTTTTGGACAAGCAACTGGAATTTAGTCTTAAGCAAAGTGGACAAAGTCATACAAACTGGCACAAACTTTTTCAGTCATGGCCTGAGACATAGCAATGCTGACAGCCAAAAGGACATGTTTTGTGTTATATTCTTGTACTAATATTTCCCCTGCTTTGTAAATGCAGCACTGGGCTCTTAAGGCACTCAACAAGGTTGGCCTAAATGAGGAGAACCCAGTGGAAGTCAAAAGGGGCCCAAGCTGTGCTATTTTCAAGGCCCATTGAAAACTTCATCTCTTTAAGCAGGCTTTTCCCCAATAACAGGAATATATAATTGTTTGGCACTTACTTTTGGAAGATAACTAACAAATATTCCTCTGGAGAGGAATTAGGGCAGTCATCAGCCTTTTGTTACTCTGATGTCTAATTTTGCATGTAACACCCAGATACTATGTAAATGTGCACACTAGGAGCCATATGTCAGCTAATTTTTTTTAAGTAACCTTTTATTTTGGGTGCTCCAGGTGTCAAGTGCCCTGCTTTGTAGTAACAAATGTGTTAAATTAGGCACACAAAAACGGAGGCATCCAGAATCTTTGTCCACTTCTGAAAATTTGAGTTTTTGAAGAGTGTTTGAAGCCATTTGAACACATGCTGAATTTGGGATAAAAGTTACTGTTAATTAAACTCAACCTCCACTAAGGAACTTAGCAAGCTAATATTTTCCTATTATCCACATTTTCTATCTGGGTACCATTTTTCTGTTAATAGAAAAAACTCTTCTTATCAGCTGTAAATAGAGATTTAAAGTCACTGTGTTTTCTGAAGCAGCTAAAAAGAATTGTTTTCATGGCAATGTTTTTCTTTGTGGAAGAAGTACTATATAGCTACAATTTACTTTGAATTATCATTGCTGATTATTCAGGAGCCTCTGGCTTACTCATTAGTCCCACTGGATATGTTTAAAGGAAACACCGCTCTTCTTTTCCACTATTTGAAGAGCTGTTTGGGTTTAAAATAAAAAAAAACCTTTGACTTATTGTGAAAATGAGCTTTTTCTTGCTTAGGGACCTCCTGGACTTCCAGGAGCAGCTGGACCCCCGGGGCCACCAGGACAAAAGGTACTACCTGTCCCCTTGTGACGTGTGAATAGAGATCTAGAAAAGCATGAGAATCTAAAGATTAGAATAGTGTTGCAGCTGCAGTATTCTATGTCTGCCTCTAACACACATTCTACACCCTACATTCCCTTAAGTCATTTCATTCTCCTTCCTATATCTCATGTCCTGAAATCTTGTGCTCCCACTATACGAAGGCACAGATGTGATTGAAGAAAGACTATAATTCTTTCTACTCCCATTTTCCTTCAACTGACTGCATACTGTAGCTAACCTCAATACCTGGATTATGTTGTGTTTATAACATAGTTTAGACCTTAATCTGAACAGTCAGCATGAAAAACTACGCAATGATGAAGTTTTTATTAACCCCTATAATGTTTATGTGGTTGAGTCCTGTTATCTTAAGCTTTTGACCCCTCTGTTTTTGTAATTATTAGCAATGAGAGCCTGGCTGCTCCCTGAGGTATCAGTGCTGATTATTTCTGACACCCAGCCCTGATCTCTGATTTCTAAGTCCAATGTAAAAATAGGCAAAACAGTACTTTTAAAAAAGTGTTTTGTGGTGTTTTTTTATTTAGGGTGAAATTGGCTTGCCAGGGCCTCCTGGGCATGACGGGGAAAAGGTAAGATGAGTAGTTCCTTATGTATGTATTTATTAAAACTTTATTTTGTTGCTGGCTTTGGCATTGTGAGGGATAACTGGTAATTGTTTGAAACATGCAAAAATGGTCCACTTTTCCATTAAAATTCCAAATTTAAACAAAAATGCTCAATAACATTTTGAAAAGTTTTAACCAACATGGTAGATATGCTGGAACAAAATTAATTCTAGTGGAAAGTGTTGCAAAAATCTCTTTCAGATTTTATCTTGGAGATAAGGGGACATGAACAATTGAACTGTGGAATTTCTTTACCAGCTCTCATAACAATAATTTATTAAAAATCAGAAATGCATGGCTAAGAATTATTTAGCCACATACTGATACACGTGTATATTTTTTTGTGGGTGAAAAATATAGGGCCTGATTCACCTCAAACATGCCTGATGAAAGAGCCCCCTAATGTGGTGATTAATAGAGCTGTGTGAAGCTTTGGGTGCTGATTCGATTTGGAGGAGATTTAGCCCAATTCGGAGGCTGAATCTCTAAATCCAGATTGAATCAGGGGACCAGTTAAAAGGTCCGAATCAATTCAAAGCTCTCTGAATTGATTCGGAAAACATTGAGAGCGCTTCGGTGACTCAGGCAGTCCCCGACCGCCGCAGCAGGGAGCTGGACCTGGATTCTGAGCTGGTAAGTGGGGAAGGGGGGGAGGGGACCATGGGAGGACTCCACCAGGCCCCATCCCCTGCCTGCTCCCCGAGCCCCCAACTCCCACACACTCTCCCATCCCCTCCCCACCTATGGCTCCCTGGCCACCCCAGCTCCTGACCCTTTATGAAAAGAAAATTTAAAAAAACCCTGAACTCACCAGCTCCTGCAGCAGCCTTGAGGCTTGTGACAAAGCCCCACACAGTGCGGGGCAGCAGGAATCACTCCACAGCTGGGCAGGAACTGGTGACTCTGGGGTTTGGGGGGAAGGTGTTTCTTAAAGGGCCAGAAGCTGGGGTGGGCAGAGCAGCCATGTGGGGCCTGGGAGAATGCATGGGGATCAGGGGACCCATGGCAGAGCCCCCCATGCAGCATGGGGCAGTGGGGGGCAGTGGGGATCGCCCTCCTCTGGGCAGCATCTGGTGAGTGGGGGCTTTTTTTTTTCAAAGAGCTGGGAGCTGGGGCAGGCAGGGGAGGAATTGCCAGGGCTGGGAGAGTGGGCAGGGGATGGGGCCTGTCTGATTCGGCTGATTCAGCAGCAGCCAAATCTCTGAATCAGATTCGGCCAAATCGATTCAGGACAGTGATTTGAATCGCTAAATCAAATCACTGTCCACCAAATCAGCCCAGTCCAAATCTGAAGTGAATGCTAGCTACTTTGCACAGGCCTAGTGGTCTGACTCGTGACTCATATTTAGTTTATATGAAAGCAGAGCACATCCATTGGGGTTGCTAGCCGCTGAACACTCTGGCTCTGGAAAGATTTAAGCAGCAGCACAGATAACCTTAATTCAGCACAGTGCTTAAACATATTAAGCTGTTCACATCCTTAGAGGGGAATACATACTTAAATGCTTTACTGAACTGTAGTGTCAGGACTTAATCCCAAATCCTTTGGTGTTGATCGTAAGCTTTCTATTGATTTTCATGGGTGATGGGCTAGAGTAACGGTTCTCAACCTTTTTTGTACCAGGACTCATTTGTAAACACCAGTGGCCAGTCCCAACTCAGTGCCCCTCACTCCTGACCCACTGCTCCCCACCCCCAGGCCTAAGCCCCCTAGTGTGTGGGGCTGGGCGGAATGCATGGGGCATGGGGGTCCCCAAGCAGCCCCTTGCAGGCTGGAAGTCTGACAGCCTGCAGGGAAAAAGCCAGAGTTTCCCATGTTTTTCTCCTTTAAAGAAGAGTCCATTTTTCAAGTTTGTTCCATTTTTAAAGCTTGTTTGTGACCCTTTCATCTATTCTTGCAACCCACTTTTGGGGCACGACCCATAGGTTGAGAAACACTGGGCTAGAGCTTTACAGGATTGAGTCCAGAGTGTTCAGCAGTTAGCAGGATTGAGCCTGAAATTAATAGTTATAAAAATAACTCTCTTTTCTTAGCTTCCCTTATACACAGACTCTGCCTCTGCCCTTTTACTTGACATTCAAACCCTCTTTTACATGGATGTGGAGACAAACTACATAGAGTAAGGCTCTGTGATGCAGTTTCTTTGTACTATTTCTGTGGCCTGCATATGCCAGCCTTATGTAGCAAAACTCCAGCAGTTTCAGTGTTTTCAAGCCACTTTCCAAAGATGTTTAGGTAGAAAAGATGAATTCTCCATGACAGGACCTAACCTTCAAGGCCAGCCATGGTACCCCCTAGCAGCCTGACTTGTCCTTCTTTGCTCTCTTCCCTCCCCCACCCGCAACTTCCTGCCTCTGTCCTGCCACACCTTGTATTAAGGTAATGGGGGAGGCTTTCTCCCAAGGCCTGATGAGTTTCTTCAGGGCTTTTCCTCTTAGCTCAGTCCCTGTGCCTTCCGAGTCCCTAAACTCCATTCCTAGGACTTCTCTGCCCCACACCCAGTCCTTGGGGCATGTCCCTAGTCCTGCTTCCCTATGCATCCCCTTTCAGATAGTCCTCAGAGCTTTTCTACTTTCTCAAGTGGGCAGGGTCATATAAACCGTAAACATTGATCCCTGGCCTTAGTTTTGCCTCAGGCACTATAATAATAGCCTCCAGCCACACTTATTACTCTGATTTCATTCATGGGGCCTCCTGGCCATTTCTTTAAAGCAGCTTATCCCAGCCTTAGGCCCCTGATCTTTGTAGGGCTGCTCTTTTTATCTGTCTGTCCCTTGCAGGGCTCAAAGAAATAGCTACCTCCCAGAGGTCCCTGTGGGCTCCAAACCACCCCCATAGCTACAACCCAAGCCTCCAGTCAACCAAAACCCAAATGCATACCACAAAACTGCTTATTCTTCTGAAGCTTTCCACAGAGCTTCCTCCTTTTCTGAGGATTTGGGCTGATCTGGGCAAATCTGAACCTCAGGCTCATGTTTATATGGCCCCTTGCTCCTTTCTCTTTTGCTCATTTGACCCAGCTCTCTGTTAACAGGGCCCAGTTTAATCAGCCTTCTGCTGTCCGCCGTCTGGATCCTGCAGCCCATTCAGCTGTGCTATTTGTACCTGTGTAACCTGGGTACACCCAAGGGTGTGCCCTATTCTCAATAGGGTGGGATGGGTAGGCAAGAGGGGTCACTGTGAGAGGGATGCCAGAATTTTGAGC